AATTCCCTCCTCCGCTACCCTTTTGACTCAGGTGTGTATAAATTGTTTTAGTTCCTGCCCCTGCAACACTGGAAGACATGTATTTGAGGAGTGTCTTGTGGGCATTACTGATATGGTAACTCAACCAGTGCACTTTCTACAGACACTGTAGTACTCGTGGCAGACAACAACACTCGTTTCAGTGAGTTCGTAGGTGTACAGGTTCTGCAAAAGGTCTTGGTGCCTGCTTAATGCAGGCCAGGGATCTTCTCTCTTGCTCCCTGGGAACCTTGTTTATAAATTAGCAGGAAGTGCTACCAGTAGGAAAAAAAATACCCATGACTTTCAGGTTGTTGCATATTTAGCCACCAACTGCCATTTTTCCCTTTTCGTTGAGGTGGGAATGGGAGGAAAGCTGTGATTTGTCTCCTGTTGGCTTTGCTAGAACCTGTTGGGCTTGATATGATCTATATAGAATCGGGTGCACGATGTGTAGACACTTGAAGGGAAGTGCAGTCTGACCTGGGAATAGCACCTACTCAATTATTATTTAGTGAAGGCGCGAGTGGGAGTTGTTCTTGGAACAAAACCAGAAGTAAAATATTTTAACAAAAGCTCTTTAATTAGTTTTTGATTTGTCCCCTCAGTGCACTTCTCATACTTTAATTCCTATTAATGCTATGGGGACTTACGCAACTTATATCAAGGACAGAAAAGTCCCCTTTAAATCCAGTTACTGTCTATTGTGTGAAAGCCTTAAATGACTACATTAAAATTCATTACTAAATGAAAGAACTACCAGCTTTATTTAAAGCATCTTATCTGACCCCATTTCTGCATAGGACTCACTCAAACTCCCTCAGTCAGGACCCAACATGCAGAAGGGCTTGTGCAAAACCAGATATTTATCCTCGGTGGTTGTCTCTACATTAGTTATTCCTGAGTCCTAGCTACAAACCTGGCCAGCTAAATGGAGACGGAAGGTATTTACCTACATTGATTCTAAGCAAGCAGCTGGCACATTTAGGTCAGGCCTACTTAGTATAAACACAACGTAAGCTTGACCAGTTTTTGTCTGAAGCCTCTGAAGAACAAGGGCAGAGCTCCTGAAGCTAACCTCAAAGTAGCCAGCGAACCCTGTAAACACGGCTGCCAATTCTGGGCTTCTTAACACTTCCCCTGCTGGTCCAGGCTGAAAAAAGTAAAAAGTGGTGAGCTGGGGACTAGCCTAAGTCCCCTTCAGCTTCAAAGGTGATGCTGTATTTATAGTCTTTATTTGCAAGTGAATATGGGGGACAGACACAGAAGCATGCCGAGTGGCACGGCTTCACGCAGTGGAGGTCTTCAAAGGTCTCTGGCCAGCAGTTTGACAATCTATGTTCTATGAATACACCATTGCCTCCTTTTTTTTTTTTCTTTTCTCTTTTTTTTTTTTTTACATAGTTTATGGCCCCTTTGTTTCTTGAAGATGCCGAGAATGATAACATTTCTTTGGGGGAAAACAACTGTGTGGGATGTTCAGAACTCATCATGGTCACATGTAGATTGGTTGGCATATGCCACCATGTAGTACCCTGCTTGTTGCTTCCTTTGCATTGCTGCTGGTCCTTGATGGGATGCTGAATCAAGAGCTGGCCTTGTGATTTGTATTTTGGTCTCTAAGGCAGAACTGGAGAGCTGTGTCCCCAGGGTGAGCCTTACTTCTGTTCTTTCTCATTTTTAATATTGAAATTGAGTGGTGATCTTTGCTGCCACAATTTTATAGCATTCTCAGGATGTCTAGGGCTTGTGTTTTTCTCACATCACATGCATGGGCAGATTTACAGTAACAATTATTTGGTTGTTCCTGGCCTGTCAGTCAGATTCCAGTTGTTTTGGCATCAAGCTACACTGAACTGCTAGTTGAGCCCCTTTCCTTATGACATGTGCCCCCAAAATAAGTTGTGAGAAAATCATCCTGAGAATGGGAGGGAGATTTAACATTTCTGCTTTCTAAAAAAAACCCAAACCCTCTTTGAAAGTGAATTTTAACCTCCTGAGAAGTGCCAGACTGAAACCACTGGAGATCAAAGCCATCTATTTAGCCATGAGCTAGGCATAAATAGGCAGGCACAGTTTGTCTCCCTAACCTTTAGCCTTGCAGCGACAGAATAGTTTAGTTTTTGTACTCATTCTGTTCCTGTTCTTCCTGCTGAGGCTACTGACAAGGGTTTTGTAGGTACAGGGGGAGGTGGGTTGTTGTTTTTTTGGTGTTTTATCTGTCTGCAACAGCTCATTTCACTAAGGAGTATCTGACGTCAGCAAATTTCAGTGACCACTGACCTTGGTTGTTAATAGAACAGTTCTTCAGTTCTCCTTTAAAAAGGAGTCAATTGGTGCTATGCCCTTTTAGATAAGCAGAGGATCTGGCCGGTAATGATGACAGTGATGATGATGATGGTTCTTACAGAAGCAATGACATTGGCAGAGCTGCTGTGCTTTCTATCAGCAAGTTTCACTTTGGGTGATTAGGTCTTCTGGCACTGTATTTAGGGGTATCTCTTTTGGCTTTATTCCCCTTTTTCTGTGTTAGGATTTTTACAGAGCTGTTGATCATGCATGCTGCAGAATGAATGCTATAAAACTATAAATTACACCTCTGCTAGATCCACAATATGTTACCAATTACAACTGCTTTATTATTCATGTCCAGGGGGAAAGCATACATCAAACCAACCCACTATCCCAGAAAGGTCGGTACTAGAAAGAACACTGTGACTCTTCTTAGAAATCAGTGGAAAAACAAATATTGTTTTAGCCTTGCTCAGACACGATATTTATGTCCAGGATGACAAGCTGAGTAATATTACTGCAGCTCTCTGAGCTCATTGTGTGCCACATGCAAAGTCATTCATGGCAATGTTGTCACCCTGTGGAAAGGAGAGGAAAAAATTAGGTGATGGGAGGGAGTGTTGAGAGAGACCTGAGGACTGAGTCATGGGCATCTTGGAGGCTGTTTTTAATAAACGTTGCTGCAAACAGGTTTCCCCACATCTTAGTAAGTTGTTCCTTTGACTTTCTCCATCTCTGAAAGCTATTTTTTGCAATATGGGAATTCTCTGGCAACTGGAAATTTTGGGGTTATTTGAATATAACTGCACAGAATACACTGCCAGCTCACCCCAGCTTGTCCATAAGCAGTTCCTGGGTCTTTGACTGCAGAAAACTGACTGAAAGATTTGTCTAAGAATGTGAATCTGTGTGCTTAACTGAGTTATTTCCCCCACACTACTCAACTTTGAAATGGCTAAGTAACTATATATATATATGTATATATCTATGTGAGTGTGTGTATTGTGTGTGTATATATATATATGTGTGTATATATAGATATATATGTGTGTGTATATATATATATATGTTTATATGTATGTATGTATGTATGTATATAATCTGTATACAAACATAAATGAATTTTTAGAACACATTCTGGGAGGGGCTAGACAAGAGCTGGCTTCTTTCAGAAAAGTTCAGGTAAGAAAACTGAGTATTGTGAACTCTCAACTCTCTCCACCCAGAAAGATACTTCAGGTCGTGTGTGTACATGCTGTTGGATTTGTTGGATTTTTCTTACTGAAACATTCTTTCAGCCTTCAAGTATTATTATTTTTTTTAAATTCACAAAAGTCAAGGTTGTGCTCGCACTTAAAAATCCAGTGATGCTGCCAGCTCAGCATATTATCTTTTTATTTTCTCCTAGTCAATCTTGTTTATTAAAAACAAAGATTTGCAATGGTTGGTGAGAAGGGTCAAGAGCATCAGCTGATTTAATTGGGTGAGAGCATCAGCTTCTTCTATGCAAATCCACATGTGGGTTTGTGTAGTTTTCTATGCCTGCCTGTCAAAAGTGTAGTCTCCACTGTGGGGAGAGGAACTTGAGAGATGTTCTGTACTTGGATTTCCACTTGCTTTGGGTCATCAGTGGTTTCCCAAATTTGAGCACTTTTGACCTCAGTAAAATGAAACCACAATTTTCAATGAGGTTTGTCTTAAATTTCAACACTTATTTTCTTTTAACCAGGGCTATTGGGGATTTGTGTTTATAAATGTCTAAAAGATTATTAGCAGTTTTTGATTCAAAGAAAAAAGCTGCAGTTAAATAGGTTTTCATATTTTTTAAAAATGTTGAATTAATTTAGGAACCAGATTCTGTCACACTTACTCAGGCTGAATAGTATTTCTTTCCATGAGCAATTTTGTTGACTTCAGCGGGCTCTACTGTTCAGTTATGGTGCTGGACAATGTGAATAAAAATGAATGAATTTGGCTCATAGTGATGTAAAAACTCAGGGTGCTATAAATATGAGTTAAGGCTAATCTGACATAATGCCCCTCTACAATATGCATACGTGCAGGTGGGTGTGATTCCCACATTCAGACATGGCAAGTGACTTCAACACCACTGGCTGTTCCAGTTCTGTGTCCTCAGACAAATTTGTGAGGACATACTATTTTAATGCGCAAAACCACTTGCTAGTCCCATCCCAGACCTCTACCTAGCAGAGACCATGAACTGGATGGTGCTTTTACATGTACAAATAAGGAGCAAGAGAGAGATGCACCAAGCCATCTCATGTATGACATGCATCGGCATTTGAACTCTGGCCACCAGAGGTAAGGCTGTTGCGCTACCACACTACATCTGTTCTCCATCAGTTTTTAAACACCAGGCTGGAAAAAATAGGAGTAGAAATGCTTCAGTCAGAAGAGATTAAAAAAGAAGAGAAAAGTCCTTAAGTTATTGGTATTAACAAGGGAGGAAAAGAAAGAAAGAATAATGGTTGCTGTGCATGATTCAGTCAAGTATTGACATTGTATTTCATTGTACCATATTTAATTTGTAATGGAGACATCTCTCAATGTGTAAGAGCCCCATTATTTTCTTGCTGTATCTGAAGGTAGTTTCCCATTTTGTTTCATTGCATTATTAAAAAGCTGAAGAAGAAATCTTGACACTGTTCTTTTTTAATGTTGTGCTGCAGGTATGGCCTCGCATGTGCAGGTTTTCTCTCCTCATACCCTTCAGTCAAGTGCCTTCTGTAGTGTGAAGAAACTGAAAGTGGAACCCAGTTCTAATTGGGATATGACTGGGTACGGCACACACAGCAAAGTCTACAGCCAGAGCAAGAACGTGCAATCCTCCCAAGCAGCAGCAGCAGCAGTCAACGCCTCTCTACAGATCCCCAACCCCAGCATCCCTTACGAACAGACCATCATCTTCCCAGCAAGCACAGGGCACATTGTGGTGACATCTGCCAACAGCACTTCTGGTGTGGTTGCGGTGTCTGGGCAAACACTGGGTGGCCCACACAACCTGATGCGGCGAAGCACTGTGAGCCTTCTGGACACCTACCAAAAATGTGGACTTAAGCGGAAAAGTGAGGAAATTGAGAACACAAGTAGCGTGCAGATAATTGAAGAGCATCCACCAATGATTCAGAACAATGCCAGTGGGGCCACAGTAGCCACCGCCACTACATCCACGGCCACATCCAAAAACAGTGGCTCCAACAGCGAGGGGGATTACCAGCTGGTGCAACATGAGGTGCTGTGTTCCATGACCAACACATATGAAGTATTAGAATTTCTTGGCCGGGGAACCTTTGGACAAGTAGTCAAATGTTGGAAACGTGGCACAAATGAGATTGTGGCCATCAAGATCTTAAAGAACCACCCTTCTTACGCCCGACAAGGTCAGATTGAAGTGAGCATCCTGGCCCGCCTGAGCACGGAAAGTGCAGATGACTACAACTTTGTCCGAGCCTATGAGTGCTTCCAGCACAAAAATCACACTTGCTTGGTCTTTGAAATGTTGGAGCAGAACCTCTATGATTTCCTAAAGCAAAACAAGTTCAGTCCATTGCCCCTTAAGTACATCCGGCCAATCCTCCAGCAGGTAGCCACAGCCCTAATGAAGCTGAAAAGCCTGGGACTGATTCATGCGGATCTCAAGCCAGAGAACATCATGTTGGTAGACCCATCTCGACAACCATACAGGGTCAAGGTCATAGACTTTGGTTCAGCTAGCCATGTGTCTAAAGCTGTGTGTTCAACCTACCTTCAATCCAGATATTACAGGTAAGAGAACTGCATCGAATAACAGTAAGAAGGGAGATATTTTCCTAGAAGGATTTTTTTAAATTTCTGTAAAAGCATGTAAAATCAGCTGTGTTTTTCTGATCCCTTTGGAAGACCTTTTAATCCTGAATTGCAATGGCTGGTCTCTAATAGGCTCTATTGTCAGTGATGAAAAGTATCTTAACCTCCTGACTTTTGCTTGTGTTGACAACTAAAATTTGCAAAATTTGACATTAAGAAAAAGAGGTCTTTAGTTACAATTGAAAAGATGCCTTAGCCACAGGAGAAAAGGAAAAATGTTTTCTTTCTCTAAAATATGGACCAGAACCTGAATGCTGTTGATGTTCCCATTAAAATCAATGCAAAATTCAGATGGTTGGCTTAAGAAAGGTTTTAGGTCAAGTTTAAGTATGAACTTACAGGTGCCTTCTGTGGTTGAAAATTGAACTCTATAAAAACAAAGCGAGACCAAAAATGGAAGTTGTACAAATCCCTCAAAGATGTTGGCAAATAGTAATTTTCGGGACTGTGGGCCTAATGCAAAGCCTGCTGTAGTCAATGGAAAGACTACCATTGTTTTTACTTGGCTTTGGATCACGGAGGAGAAAAACATGTTTTAGAATGTAATCTTGTTTTAAAGGCATTTCGGCCCCTGTGTTTGAAATGGAGTCGGGAAAAGGGATGAATGTGCACTGTAATATTTCTGTAAGGGACTCGGGCTCGTGGCCTGGCCAGGGACTATTGATTTCCATTTGTTATGCTTTTTATCTTTTAAACGTGGGCATGCGTGCTTTTTGGGTGAAATTCTGACCTGTACTGGGGGCCCATGTGCAGCTTCAGCATTTACATTCCACTCCAGATTGTGAAACAGAATATGCTTCCTGTGCAGCTGCATTGCATAAAGGTGATTTTCATCCTTGAAGTTTTTGCTTTGACTCAAGAAAGCAAATCCTTGTCTGAAGATTGTCTGAAGAACCACCCTGTTACTCCCACTGCCTTGACTCATAGCACCCCAAGGATTCAGAAGAGGGGTGGCACTTTTGCATAGGTGATAAAAAAGAAAGAATTTGTGTTCAGATAACAGCTGTATTTAGAAACGTGCGGGCATTGTCTCTGTTACTGTAAGTCTGCAAAACATAGGGAAATAGTGAGAAGTGAGTGTTTCTGATGACTGATTTGGTCAGTCTGCCATGGCAGTAGGTGAAGGGATGCCATGGTGGATCACTCTTTTTCTTATAGAAAGACAAGTTAGTTCCTCTGCTTCTACTAGGGGTTGCTCACCTCTTTTAAGGAGTAGGCTGGGAACTAGTGCCAGGATGTGTGCTATGTTCCCTTCAGCCACTCCTTATCAAATAACTTAGTTTTCAGATACAGAGGCCAAGCCCAGAACTGTGAGGTGGGAAAGAGTTAATTTTCACAGCAGTGGGAACTTTGACAGTGTAGCATTGCAGTAGCTGATTTTTATCTATTAGTCCTTTGCTCTGAAGGAGGCCAAAAAAAATGTAGTTTATACCTCAGAAGAGGCTTATTAAATGAAATACTCCACCTGATGACAGTCCCATCCTCCAGGGGAGATGGGTTTCTGCTGTAAATATGCAAACCCTTTTAGGGTTGCAATTGCCTTGCTGTGTGGAGGGGGAAAATAATGATAATATGGGCATTTTGTTGTTGAGTTATCTGTGAGCCTGCATTGGCAGCCTAGGTCCCAGGCTGAAAGACAGAAGGGGCAGCCAAAATGAAATGTGATAGAAAACAGAAATGAAAGAGAAAAATTGTTGATTCTCAGTAACAAGCAAAGAGTGTTTTCTGTGACAGTCCCCCGGGGAAGAAAAGGTTTGATAAAATTTGCTTTTCATTCTTTGAAACGTTATTCCTGCCCAGCCTGAAACTGCAGCTTGTTAGATAATAAGTCCAGCTTTCCTCATTCCTCTCCTGCTTTCCATTCCTGAGCTGATGTAGAGGGAAAGGACAACAGTTCACCAAGAAATGCTAGCTGGGATGAATTACATCAGCAGGGGGCTGCTGATGAAGCTAAATTCAAGTCATGGGGAAAATTCATATTCTTCTTCCTCATTTTCTGATAGGAAAAAAAATACAGTGCAGAATAAAGGCCTATTCTACTCCAAAGGGAGGAACTTTCATGCTGGGGGCAACATAGGACTTTACAGAGATTTTATAATAAGTCTATTTAATTTAAACATATTTTGCTTGCTAGGGTGATAAAAGGAATGATGGAATGACATTAAGAATTGGTAAATTTAAGCTGAATGTCAAGAAAACTTCCTACTGGTAAAACTCATTAGATTGTGGAATAGTCTCTCTGGGGAAGTGACAGAAACCTCATTGCTCAAAACATTTAAAACCAGGCTAGACAAAGCCCTAGGGACTATGCCGTAGAGGACAGTTGTCAAGTGGCAGGAAGAGTATGTAGATGATGTAGTAAGTGTTTTATTGGCCAGGTGCTCCTGTGTGGCCTGGCCATTTTGCACCGCACTGGTAGGGTAATCTGGTCCTAACAGCAGTTTAATCAGTCCAGAGAGGATCAGTCCAGTGATCATCTGATGACATAGAAGTGACATAAGGGATCTTACTGCACTTACCCGCCCTTCTGCTGTTGCACCTGGCATAATAGGAGTCTTTGGAGGAGAAGGGCCTGACCCTGAGTATGCTCCTGGGTTATGCTGATACCAGGCAGGTTTTTCGGCCCCCGTGGGCTGGTGTAATATAGCAAGAGGGGGCTGATCTGAGTCCTGTCTCAGAGTCAGGGGAATGCAAAATGAGCTTTGCATTCTTTTTTTCCATACCACCCCCGTGTGTGACTCGTGCAGTTTAGAGCCACCCCAAAGTCTGCCCTTACTGGTATGATTCATGACCAATTTGTGATTTCCATCAGTGTCTACTAGCAATTCTCATGAAACTCAGTGGGAGCTGCTGAAGCTCACCACCTTTGAAATCAGTTGAGATGTCCAACATTTGTGATTGCATGTCGCACTGCTTTCCTTTAGCTTTGTTTCTCTTCTTCTGTATGCTCTTTTATAGCCATTTGTTGGAGGTAACATCCAGGACCTTTCACATCCCACATTTTGGTAACAAAACATTCTTGTTTTACCTCTGCCTTCTGGACCTTACAACTGAGGGGACCTTTATGGGACTCTGTTAGCTATCATGAGAGGACAGAATAAAACACTCCATCTTCCCAGAGGCTAATAATCCATTTCTCTCTGTGCTCCTATGTCAAACACAAGAATGGAGGGCCAGGACAGAGATTACTTCAAAGATTGCTCCTTTTATTCTCAGGCCCCCCAAAGCCCAGGTAGTCTCTATCATCAGTTTAAGCAATCTCAGGGCCTCTCTACTTTGTGTTTTGTCGCTTATGGGCTGTGCACCATAGCTGAGTGTACAATGCTCTAGCCATAATGTGGCTTACACTGAATCCATCTCATGTACCCCCTATGACATGAACTGCAGATGAACCAAATCAAGAGCTGTTGTGGCATCGTTTCACTCTTCAGTGAACCCCTTGACTGCTGGGAAATCCTCACTGAGCCATTTCTCTCTTTATGCCATGACTATGGTGTAAAGGTGCCAGTGTCACAAGAGAGTCAACAGCACTACCTGTCCCAAGCCAAAATTTCTCTTGGGGTAACTAAGGGAGAACGTAAACAAGAACCTAGCTGATGGTAGTGGTGCTCCTTCCTTTTTCGTGTCCTTGTGACAAAGTGTTTAGCAGAAATCATAGATTTCATTGGAATCTGACAGGCCATGCCAGGACAGCTTCTGTTGTGGCCTCGAACATGGTACTAGTGTAAACTTGTGAAGGATGAGCAGACATTTCGCCTACATACTGACTCCCAGCTAGTGCATGTATGCATTAAGAGCTCAAGCTGGCTAAAGGCAATGGTTAAACCTACTTTTGACTTGATTGGGAACATACCCATTGGTAAAGGTAATGGCTTCTGACTCTTTTCCCCTTTGCAATCCTGAGAACTGGGCTCAGCAGGTTGCAACTACTGTCAGTATGTTTTTTTTCATGTGAAAGGAAAGAAACCTGTCCTAGACTGCAAAACAGAAGCAGAGTCCCCCTCTCCATCCTCCCCAACTGTGCTGTTCTCACTGACAGCTGTGCCTAGTCCACCCACACCAGAAGCAGAGGTATAACAAGTTCATCGAGCACCTGGGATGGGGAAGGGAAAGGTGTGGCTGAGGTATGGGAAGTCTGAGCTGCTCAAGCTACTGCTTCTGCTCTGGAAGTATCAGCTCCAGAGGCAGCAGCCCTGTGGCTGGGCTCCCTGAGAGCCATCCTGGTGCTCTATCCATTCCCCTTCGCCCCCACAGACACAGATATATTGGCTTTGGCAAAGGCTTGAGGGGGAGAGCAGGGAAAGCACCATTACATTTGCCCCACTCGCTCCCTGCCCTCCAGAAACCCCACTTGGTGTGGCACACCCCTGACTATCTCCTATGGCCAGGCACCGGCAGCACGAGTTTGCTCTTGCATGGCAAAGACTCATGGCAGGGAGAGATTCTGGTTCCCCTTTATAGTCGGTGCCCAAGGCTGGAGCCTTGCTCGCCCCTCCCTAGTTACACTATTGCCACCACCAGGGATCATCCTCATGCCAGATATGATGGTTTTATAGCTGAAGAGCAAGTACACTTGCATGCTTTCCTCCCCCTACCCCAAATCATTGATCAGCCACTCGGAGATGATCCCACATGGTTCTAATTTAGTGTTAAGCTTCTTACATGAGCCTTTGCAGCTAAGGCAGGGATTTTGTCAGCATTGTGGTCAGAGATGTCATTGCAAAGTGGGTGTATGTGATGAGGATAAGCTTTCTTTCCCCCCTCTTCAACTTGTACATTTACAGTAAAATAAAACTTCAACCCAACCAACATGCATCATGTCTCACTCCTGTCCTGCCTTATGCCTAACTGTTGCGGAAAATGGCACTTGTGGATACAGCTGATTGCTGCTTTCCCAGGTCTAATATACAGAAGAGTTC